ATTTGGTCTGCGGCCGGTGTCGTCTGAAAGAGCAGACGACAAGCAGAAACGTTTAAAAGAGGAGACGACAGTTCGAACGATCAGGCGGCCGTTTGAACGTGAAGACGCACTGAATGTAGTCCGCAGGTGGTCCGTTGAACTTGACGGTTTTCCCGTGTTCATGTTGAAACAAAATAAATAAATCTGATGACCAGAAGTATCCTTGAATTCAACCCAAAGTGCTTCCCATCCAAGCAATCGTGGTCCGACGGCATCTAATTTTCCCTTTTCATGGCACATATCCAGGTTCTCGGACGAACCGAGCACATGAAAACTGACCTTCAAACCTGTCTCGACACTTTTGGTACAGCCCCAGTCGAGATGTTTTGACCAGAAGGCAGGTTTTTGTCTGGTTTCCTTCAAAACAACGCACAAATGCACGTCCCGTATGTTAACCTCCGCCCACAGCCCCATAACGGAAGTGCGCTTGACTCGCCATGACCGCGCCGTGACTAAACAGAGTTGAATTCGTGCATATCTTGAAATATCATAGCTTTCGTGAGCCGAGATTACGTCAGGTGTTTCCTCACAGTAAGTCCTAGAAATGTTTTCGCCTTTATTTACGATACTGTCAGTGCTATATTAGATATTGCTATTTACATATATATACACACAGGGTGCCCCAAATAACTTGCACCAAACTTTAAAAAAAAAAAAGAAACGTTCAGCGACAGCGAGATTAACTGTATGCTGTTTGCAAACGTTTGTGAACGTGCAGAATTTTCTTTTCGTACGCCTGGTTATTTAGTTAATTAAAACTAAGTAGCTATTTTTTGTATTTTTTCGTTGAAGAGCCGAGGTGTCACTTGGAGAGTTGTGGAGCGGCATTGAGAAACACCCAATTAAAATGGTTCCTACATAATTCGCTTTGCAAGCTTCTCTTTTATTAGCCTATAATGAAAGCCCGCAAAAGTTCCTTTCCTTTGTTTGTTTGTTTGTTTATTTATTTTTGACACAATTGTCAAGGATGTTGGGACAAAAGGCGAAAACGAATCACCTGACTAGGTCCCAACCCCCGTTACAGCACTCAGCAGCAGGGCACAGGAAATGAATCAAAAACAGCATCAATCAAAAATAAAACAATATCTGAGAAGATAAAAATATGAGACACAAAAAATGCACAATCTATTTTGATGTGAACTATACTAGGAATACACACTAGGCACATTGAAGTATACCGTAACGTATTTTTTGAAAAGAAACATGGACGCTATTGTCTGGGCTAATTCGAATACACAATAATTTCTGTTAATATGATCGGTTATCTGGCAGGATATTTTTTGTTTACCGTAACTAGTTCTTATTTTAGGCTTTGAAAACTGCTGGTGTCTCAAATTGTAATTTGTTTGCTTGGATAAATATGTTTCGTAAAATATTGCGGGATTCGTGTTTATTTGAGTATGAACTGCAATTGCGACCTTTAGGCAAAAAAGATTGTCTAACGTTAATACTTTATGTTTAATAAAGCTAGGGGAAGTCGATTCAGTCCAAAATAAATTATCAATTGACCTAACTGCGCGTTTTTGCAATGTAAATAATTGCTTAATATTACTTGCTGTAGTCGTCCCCCAGACCAATAAACAGTAACGCAGCCTCGAGTGAATGAGAGATATATACAGTTGCTTTTTTAACCAGGCTGGAAGGAGGTATTTTAACTTACAAATTAAACCAATTGATCTAGAAATAACCCTTCGGAGTTCGTTCACTTGACAAGTCCAGTATAGATTTTTGTGAAAACGAACACCAAGAAATTTAAAGGATTCCACGCGTTCAATATTCGAGTTTTGAAAAGATATACTAATTTCGCTAGTTATGGGCTTCTTTTTTGCTCTAAAAATAATGTACTTAGTCTTTGCCGTATTCAGCTCTAACTGGTTTGAGCCTAACCCTAAATTAAGTTGCTCCAGCCCATTATTTGTTTCTCTTTCTACGCTATCCAAACAGCTACCAGTAAAGAATACATTCGTATCATCTGCATATAAAATTATATTAGGTGTTTGTGGGATGTTTACTATATCATTGATGTAATGAAGGAACAGTAATGGCCCGAGAATTTACCCCTGCGGCACACCGTATCGAATTTTTGCTAAAGGAGAGCGCATATCATTGAGGACGGTATATTGAAAACGTGAGGTCAAGTAACTGCTTATCAAATTTAGCACACTGCCTCTTATTCCATACAGCGGTAGCTTTCGGAGTAGGATGTCGTGTTTTATAGAATCAAAGGCCTTCCTGAAATCTAAAAAAACACCCAGAGTATAGCGCTGATTTTCAATATTGTCTATGATTTTGTTTTTGATATTTAGCAGGGCCATTTCAGTTGATTTACCTTTTTGGAAACCATACTGGTTGTTTGTAATAATATTATGTTTATTACAGAAATCACTTAAACGTTCGTAATTAACGCGTTCCACTACTTTAGAAGAGACCGGAAGAACTGATATTGGTCTATAGTTATTCATATTATTCTGGGGACCACCTTTATGGATCACACAGGCTTTCGCTATTTTCATTTTTTCTGGAAAGATACCTTTACTTAAAATAAGGTTGCAGATATACGAAAGCGGAGTAGATATGAAAGAGGAAACTGCTTTGATTGGCTTAGAACATAGCCCATCTTCTCCACAGGCAGCGCTATTCCCTAAGGATTTAATGATAGTAGTTATTTCTAGTTCAGTGGTAGGTGCCAGAAATACTGAGTTATGTAAAGGGTATCCAACATAAGACTCACATGTACGCGTTCTCGCTGAGGGCATAGTAGAAGAACCGGATTCTAGAAAGTGGGAATTAAATTTATCTTCAAGAGACTGACCCGATCGAGTAAGTAACCCGCTTGATTGTAAGTTCTTTTGGAGCATGTGCACGAGGCCTAGAAGCAAGTTTATTTACGGCTTGCCAGACTTTCTGCGGATTGTTATATATTGCATTAAACTTATTTTTGTAGTATTGAGCTTTAGCTTTCTTGATATCAGCGTTGAGCTTGTTCCTCACTTTCCTAAATTCCTGTAATATTGAGATATCTCCTGTCTTGACCAACTTATCATATAATTTATTGCGCTCTTTTATACGCTTATATAACTGACTTGAGACCCAAGGTTTTTTTTACTTTTTGTATTTTTTAAACTCTTGCCATGGAAATGACTCCTGATAACACTTTTGTAGGAGGTCCAACAATATACATAATGATTTATTTGGTTCCGTTTCAGTTACTACCGACTCCCAGTTTATATTCGATACCCTAGAATGAAACAGCTCAATTGAACTATTATCAATTCTTCTAAATGTCTCAGCCGCATTATTAGAGCTCAATTTTAAATTTACTGGACCGACAATAAAAGTAAATATCGGGAAATGTTCACTTAAATCACAAAAAAAGACACCAGCAGCCTCGGTATGACAATTTGTAATACAGAGATCAATTAGCGTTTCTGTTTCCACCGTGATTCTAGTCGGCAGGTTTATTACATTATCAGATCCGTAGGACTGAACAATATCAAGTAGTTCAAGAGATCCACTTTAATGAAAATATTTAAACGAACTAACAGGCTAGTCGGTTACACATAACAGAAAAAAGTCAGTGAGAGAAAGTGTTGTACAAGCTCCTCCAAGGAAGGAACGAAATTTCTTATCTCGTTTTTTCACCGCCTTGGAACGAGTTCCCGTTACAAGTTACAAGGGTTCGAAAAGAAATTCGTTCCCGCTACATTTGTAAGATGAAACGTGTCGTTAAATTAATGGCACAATTGCGTATTTAACTCAAGTACTGTGCTAGATAATGCTGAAATAAAATAAAGCAAACAAGTGAAAATATATGCACGTCGAACTACGTATCGAATTGTCAGAAGCAATAGTGTTCAGGCGAGTTGGTTAGGAAACATCGCAAAGTCAGGGTCACATATGTTTCAGTTCTTTGTATTCGACTATCTTTCGGACACTGCCCAATACCTTAAAATCGGGTTTTGAAATAGGCGATAATATTAAAGCGTACAGTCGGTGAGAGGTTAAGAGTGAAATGGAAGCTCCTCTCATCTCTCTCCACTTTAGAAGAGCGAACACTGCAGAGGAAGTAGCCTCTTCTCAAGCGTTCGCTCCGCTGATGTGGAAATCAAAGGGAGGAGCTCCCACTTCGCTCGTAACTTCTCAACGACTACAAATTTGTACAATATAGTTAAATAAATTTTAGAAAAGATATTAAAAAAATTGCCGTTCCTTCTTTCATTTTTTCAGAAACGTTGTGAGTTCCCGTTGCAGTTCCATTGATGCAAGATGGAACGGCGGAGTTCTTTCGCTCCGCCAAAATAAACGCGTTCCAGGAAGGTTGTTCTTTGGAACGCCGTTTTGTCAACACTGGTGCAAAACAGAAGGTCTTGTAAGAGAAGACAAAGCAAAAAAGCATTCCTTTCTGGAATGATTAAACTGCACATGGAAAGTTTTTAGCGATTCATGCTCAACAAATATCAAAATTTCATTAAATTCACCATTTCGTAGAACACAAATACTTCATTGTGGTCCCAGAACGTATCGAAAGGCAACCGTTACAACGGGCAGACGAAACAGACCACAGGCACGGAGTAGACGTAGTCTGAACCTCACGCAGCCGATCGAGCCGACCGAGCGTCAAGCAGATGATGAGAACAGCGTCGGTGCGCAAAGCAGTCTGGGATTGAGTTATTTTTCAGGATTCGCTGTTGTGCATGATGTCATGCCAGGTCCTACGGTATTAAACTTGCAAACAGTGGGATTCATCGCCTGACAAAATAAAGAAGGAAACACACCCACCCAATTTGAAAAAAAAAAGAAGGTGGGAGAGCGTGACTTTTGTAACGCGCACAGCTGAGTTCTTCTTTTTGCAACAAAAATATAAATAAATTTTGATTCTTCCAAGAATCACGTAATCGGTGAAACTATATAAAGCGAACACGTCTGCCGATATTGCAACTACGTTTGAGAGGTCGATAACGATGCTCGCCCTGAAACATTTTGTGTTCTGTCTAAGCGTTTCTGCGGCGTACGCCGAGGTAGAGTTTCAAAGTTGGGAGAGACCACCGGACAACAATCCTGACCTGAACAGGAAAGGCCTTGGCCCGATGCAAGATGCATGGGAGGTATGATTTATTTTCACCGAGTATATCGATTTTTGTAACGTTATTAGCCATCTGCCTTGTCATGAAGCGATTGTTGTTGTAGTCGAGATCCTGTTCATATTAGTAAGGAGATTGCTTCCGGATGACCTTCGGAATACATGTGCCCGAATAATGACCCTGCTGAAAACAAACCCCATTGCGTACTAAAACGATTGCAGTCAATTGCCTCAAAAAATTATATCCGGAGACCGTTAGTTACAATTTGTTTTTATTTTTATTTTTCACTAACGTTTTGCGCTACGTTTGAGTGAAGTCTGAGCCTTCGGAAATGTGTAGTTTTGAACCGTTAAAAAAAAACACACACACACACACACATCAGCTTCGTTCTTTTTTTTTTTGCAGCGGATGGGTGCATTGGTTTTTTAGGTGGCACGAATTTCCAAGGATGATAAAAGAAAACGTGATGACAATAATTCTAAGTCAAAAGCGAGCTGAATGAAGAATACTGTATGAGGCGAAAACAAAGTTCACATTAACTGAAGGGCGTGTTTGTGACATTGACTGGCAACAGAAAGAATAACACAAACGCTGGACGTAGTCCTTCAACCCGAGTTTGTTTTCTTCTTTCTGCTGCCTGCTAAAATACCGCTGCCATTGTTCTTACTTAATATCAAAATTGAGTGTTCGTCCGTTTCTTCCAACAATTTTGTTTATTAATGTTACGTTTACAGGCACGCGCATTTATTGTAAGCCTTTTTAGTGTGCTATTTAGTCCCTCATCGGCTATACACTGGTCACTTTTACTCTTCTGGAGAGTCAATGGAATGTTTTCAGTCGTAGAGGACATGGACGAAAGTGCAGCGTGCACTGTGACGACGTTCATCACAATTTATTATGAACGCAACAAAATTTTGTCTGATAGTCTTCTTACCTTTAGCTTAGTTTTGAATTAAACTGTCTTCACATTACGGCTTTATTCATACATACAAAACTAATCCAGAGGACAGCATTTAATTTACGTAAAAAATTACAAAAAAATATTAATATATTTACAGACAATCAAGGGTACGGCGAACCAGACCTATTATCTCATTTATAGTAGCGGATTGGGGACCGAAGCGTATTACAGAACTTTTAAATGCATCCAAGCGCAAACAAGATACCTCAATCAAACATTGAAGAGTGCCAATTACACATCAAAATGGTACCACCCAAGATCTAAAAAAATGTAAGCATTTCCATTGTTTCATAATGTCCTCAACATAAATGGTTTATTAAAATGTCTAACCATTTATACATGGCATTTTGGTGTCCACTGAACTTTCCAAAAACCGATAATTATCCGCTTAGGAATTCTACTGAAGTACGATAGAGTGCTTGAATAAGTTTATTCTTTAGTCACTAACTTCGTATATATACTATTTCGAACCGTATGCTGGGGCTTAAAAATAAGATGCATACAATTATGCACACAATAAGATGCATACATATTATAAAAAAGCTTTTGATAATACGATAGGATTATTATTATGGCAAAATAGTGACATCCCCTTAGTCCCGCGTATGCACTTCCGCGGACCATAAATGGGATTGCCGTTATAAATACACATGGCAAGAATTTATTTCGACGATAATGTGCAAGCTGCGAGAACAAGCAAATCCTAATTATACGTGGCAGGATTAAAGAAACATGTAACAGACGACGATAATAATCCCTGGAGAAGAGGAACAATTAAGGGGGACAAACGACAAAAAAAAGTCTCGAAAACACCAAAGACGTGATAAAACCCGTCTGCTCTACTGACGTCTAACTCCTGGTTAGCTCAGTTATTAGAGCGCTCCACTCAAAATCGAGAGGTCCCTGGTTCGATACCAGGACAAGTCGGATTTTGTTCGGCCGAGCACCAGTCACCAAGCTGTGTTTTGGAGATATGTGTTTTTCCTTTTTCCCCATTGTTTCACTTCTCCAAGAATAGTTGTCGCCATTCTTGTCCAGCTCGCTTGCACCTTGTCATTGATTGCCTTCTTACCATGTAACAGACATCACTTTAGACAATAAAAAAGGAGGCGCTTCGACAAGCCAAATACAGTGTGGAATGTTCGCAAAATGAGCAACAAAAGCTGGCAAGATATATGCTCTCACAAAAACTATATCTCATGCGATCTTCGGGACATTAGCATCATGTTACGTGGTATCTAACAAACAAATAATAGAAAATATGCAGATCAGTGACTCGTGCTGAATCGTTTATTAATAACGTTATTTCTTAAGCATGTTTTCCATCATTTCCTTCTTAGGGACCATATGGAGATAAAATGGCCCGTGATATATTCAAACGTAGTTTTTGACACCAGAAAATGATTTTATTGTGTTTATAAAGCTCATAAACAAGAAATCATGCGTGTAAACGTGGCGGGACAGAGAGTGAGAGAGCCTCTGGAGCACCACAAGCGCGTGTTACGTGCGAGCAATTTTTGTACCGCGTTCCACGCGGCGGCATGTGCTTCCAGAACACCTCTGTTTTCCTGCAATAGACCAATCCATACACTCTAAAACCGGTCCCTCATAAAAAACGCTGTCCCTCTGATTTTAGAGGGGACAACAATGCTTTCAGGGGGACAGCCCTTTTTAAGAGGGAAATTGAAAAATAAAATAGTAACATCTAGAGGGACACCAACATATTAAGAGAGACCAAGGAAACCGTTTCGTTAGTCCCTCTGAACAGGAAAGACAGACAAAAAGATTCACGCGTGTCCCTTCATATTAAGAGGGGACCAGTCCCTCTTAACTGGACCAATGTAGTTCGGTCAGGAGGAGGGGGGCAGGCGCACTAATCCACGGCAAAGAGTTCAGACGGTGCTAAGGCTTCGCGCCAATTCACGGAGAGCTGGAAACGGTCGTTGCCGGAGAGTCGCAAGCGTCATGCTGCTCGTTTGACTTCCTTCGGGTGAGTAATCCTGTCATATTGGCGCTTTTGTTTTGGGTGCATTGCGGGTGGGAATAACGAGCCATCAATATTTTCACGCTGGCTGTGAGATGCACGAGCTTTGCATGTAGAGTGAGAGTGTTCAGCTGTAGTCCGCGGACGCGGTCGCTTCCTGGATCTGCTCGTTCAGCTACGACAAAGCGTCGCTAATCGTTTGCCCTGCCGTGAGCCGCAGGGCTGTCTTTCGCACAAAACACTTTTAGCGGGTTAGGGTGTCCCAATGTGTACGCGTCTGTCTTAAGCTGGTGATGTCAGACCATTTTCTGTCCGACGCGTTTGTCTACTTTTCAATTTCGAACGCGCGATCGTTCTTCTCCCAGCTCGAGCTGCTAACTTTGGCAGTGCTACGCCGGCATTTTATTACCGGCAATTTCCTGGTATTTTATCCGTGAGCGTACACTGTCGGCATCGAGTACTACAAAGGATGGCATCACCCTCCCTAAGGCAAAGCCAACATAAAGGCACCCTAGCTGGGGCAGTCAGTGTTTGTAAGCTTGGCTCGCCGATTTCTTTCTCGGTGTGCACTCTAAATGCTCGAGGTTGACCGCCCGGGAGCGTTGGTGGACAGAAACAATGTTGGCGATTTTGCGTTTGTTGGCCTTCACAATTCATTACAGCAATTTACACTGCAACGTTATGTTGTAGACATCGTTAGCGTTGCAGTGATTATGAACATTTTTTTCTCAAGTGGGCGGCGAGTAAAAACCCATAATGTGTGTGTATGCTTGTGAAAAGGGCAGGGGGATTGGACGGGCACAAAACAAAAAGAAGAAATAAAGTTTTTTTTTTTTTCTTCGCGTGTTCGCGTTGCGTCGGCGTCGCGGCGTCTGGGGGAAGGGTGTAGCGGCGGCCAGGGAGTACATTTTTTTTTTGTATTTCTTTGGCGTACTGTTTTGTTCGTTGTATTTTGACGGTCGTGCCGGCACAACTACCGGCTTTTGTTTTTTGGCGCCGACCATGTTTTTGTTTTTGGAGATTTTATTTACGATGTTTATTATGCTCTTTGTTTTCTGTAGCTGGCTGAATATTTTTTTTTTTCTGTGTCGTGCATCCGCGAAAGATATATAAACAGAAGTTTGCTTTTTTTTTTTTCGTTCTTATGCGCTTTGGGGCTAGTGCGTTGACTGTGGGCGTTAAATGACTGACCGTTATTAACAATCTTGTTTTCAGAGTGAGGCAATGGCAACGAACGTTGACATGAAGGGAATCAGGCGGGGGTTCCGCTCGGATTGCTCGTGTAAAGAGCTCTACCGGGACCCTCTGCACGGTGGAACGCACCACCCTGAGTGGTGAGCCTATACTGCGGCCACCCGCACACGGTTCACAACGAACTCGGTAATTATTAACTTTTTGTATTCCGGTATGTAGGTAGGCTCTATTTACGTTCTGTTGGCATATGCACTGCTTCTGAAAAAAAAAAAAAAAATGAATGGCTTGCGGCGAAATGTTTACAGAAATGTAATTTTTTATTTGATTACGTTGCTTTCTAAAACATGCGCTAGATCACCTCTGCAGCTTCGAGCCGCAAATGCAATCCATGCTTTCCAAAGCACATGGGGCTTCTAAAGTTCATCTACTACTAAATGCGTTTTCGTTTTGTCTTGGTAATACAGAAACAGTTGATTCTCGTAAATTAAATAAAACTGCAGTCTATTCTCGTACCAAAAATTAATAGTAGCAGAAGTTGCGTCATAAGCTAATGTCACTCGCTATTTTATCGCATACAGATTGGGTTCCGAATCTTTGAACTGTTTGCACTTTATTTTCGCATTTGTTTCCCATCGCCTGCTTGATAACAGGTGAAAGCGCTTCATTACCTTTATTCTAATTCCCACCCTCTGTATCTAAAGAAAACAATATGGTCTTTCATTCAGCTAAAGGTGGATGCACAACTTCGGTTCCATAACGCGATCGTCACCATGGTGGGAAACCTGGAGGAGGTAAAAGGGGCCTTCTGCGGAGACAACCCAACAACATTCTTGAACATTAAGACCATCCTCCGGTCTCGATTGGCCAGAAGTTCTTTCATCACCTATGGTATGTGAAAAAGCGAATGCAAAAATAGAAATCTAAGTTTGACGCTGACGCATTTTTTTTTTTTTTTTTTTAAGAATTGCTGCTTGCAGGACGATTTTACCGCTGACGAAAAAGTCCAAGACCCAAGACTTTCTTCGGTTCGGAGAAAGGGATCGTTTCTGGGAACTGGTCAGTGAAACTCACCGCTAGCACGACTGTGGAGGGGGCACTAGTCATGTGCTTATGGGTGTATTACATAACGGGACTTTCCTACCCCGTGGCATGTGGACAAACCCTTGGACTCCTCTAGGGTCTGCTCGTTGAAAATAAAGTGTTTCGATTCAGTTTATGTCGGAGAAGCTCATAAAATCGCTCATGGCCGTTCAAAAACAACAGAAATTCCGAGCTTCTGCTGATGGCAAGAGACGCCGAATAATTAGTTTTTAATGTTACGAAGTTGGTAACTACGCTCTAAAAAAAAGCACAGGAATCTACTTTCCCGAGCCAGCACTTGGAAAGTCAATAACCGTAACTCACGGAAGCAGCTCAGCGAATCACGATGCCGAAACATAAGATTAGACCAAAAAAGCCAGTCCGAGTTGTGACGTTAACCAATGCAAAACATCACGCTTGTTGTGCTTAATGTCGCAACTCATTTTTTTGGTATAATCATATGTTTTGGCATCTACATTCGCTGAGCTGCCTCCGAGAGTTATGGTGATTGTCTTTCCAAGTGTTGTGCGGGAAAGTAGACGCACGGACTTTTTTTTAGAATTTACTTTTCTTTTTGTGTTATCCGCTAAAAAAAGTTTTTTTTTTCCAGCACGATTGTATTGTTGTTGTTTATGATAGGCAAAATGAGTCACTCTGCAGCAAGAAATTTTTTGTGTGATAGCTTCCAAGAAACGCCGATTTCTGGCGTCGTTCTAAGTCCTTTTTTATTCGTGAAAGCTACCAGAACATCGTTATAGAATTATTATTTTGATGAAGACATATCAAAATATTTTCTTGTGTCATGGCAAATAAAACAGTGTTTACTCTTAAAGTTTGTTACTGTTTTCTTTAACACATTGATTCCGTTTATCAAACAAGATATACAGATCAAATTTCAATTCTGCTACGCAGCACAAAATAACTTTGGTTAAACCATATCAGCAAAAGTGCGAGAAGTGCAGTGCAGCATGTCAGCTTACACTCAAAACACGAAGGAGCAGAAATTGTACGATACAATAACAGAGGTAACTTAAAGCCGGGGTCACGCTGTTTATACATCATAAAAAAAACATTCTGCAGACATGTTCTAATACGAGTCACCGCGACATCCGTGCTTTGTATGCCACGTGACAAAGTAACCTCTTGATTGGTTACCTCGTGGCGTACGAAGCGCGGATGTCGAGGCGACTCGTTTCGGAACATGTCTGCAGAATGTATTTTGTATGAAGTAAAAGCAGCGTGACCCCGACTTAAGGGGGACTATGCCCCTGCATTTTAAGCGGGCCACCGTCCCTCCGAATTTAAGGAAGAAAATATCTAAAAACTGTCCCTCTTAATTAAGGGACTCTGACCTCAAATTTAAGGGAGACGCCGCCTCGCTTACTTTAAGAGGGGTGGTGTCTCACTTAATTAAGAGGGAGCATCTCCATGTAATATTAAGAGGTCTGTCGCCCCCCTTAAAGTTAAGTGGGAAAAAATCGAAGAAATGTCCCTCTTACTAAGTGGGACCGGGCTTAGAGTGTAGCGTCCTTTATACTGACAAAGCCTGGCAGATCGCCACGATATGCAGCCGCCGAAAGTGAAAAGGTAGAGCGGCAGACAAGAGGCATGTAACGCGCACCCCGCTGCGGCGAGACGCCGAAACGCACTTGTCCCGAGCTTGCAATGTCCGCTTCTGCTTCTCGCGCTCCTAGGGCTACCGTTTCTTTTCTCGTCGGGTTTGAAAACCATGTTTCGGGTCCTCGCCGCTGCAAAACCTGTGCGCTGACTACATGCTCCCAGGGAAATACTCTGTGCTACCAGATTCTCGCGCTCCATATCTGCGACCGGGCACTGGGGGTGCCACTGCCTGTCTCCCTCGAGGAGGTAATAAGCAAGGCGCTTCGTTCCTCACCCAGAAGGTGTAAAAGTTGGCTCCGTCATCGAACTGCCAAGCGTTGTGAGTATATAGGAGGCTATGACCGATCTCACCAGCCAGTTTGACTACGTTACCATTGTCGCATTGCATCGAGGTGCATCGAGGGAACTTTAGTTTTTCAGTACGTGCCCGAACCTGGCTGGAGCTCTGCACGTTAAGGTGGCTTCACGCATGCGCCGAACGCCTGGTGAGATGGGTCTTTCCCGTTCGGAGCGCTCATAAGATACATTGGCAAAAGGACAAGGCGGTGTGGTGCAGTGGTTAGCATATCTGACCGGTAATTATGAGGCTACAGGTTAAAATCATGACGCCCTCTGGGGTTTCGTATTTTGGGCAGCTACATAACAATAATTTCATCAGATCAGTACGGTTCATTTTGTATAAAATTTCGACATATGATCTTCGGATGTTCTTCAATACCATAGTGAGTATAGGACACTGATCGCTTTATTATAACTGGGCGCTAGGTCCTGTTATACACAATCGGCGCATACGCCGATTGTGTATCGGCGTATGCGCCGTGAAAGTTCGTGTGTTCCTCGCGCACCTCGTACGTTTGTTTACCCCCGAAACGGAGTCACGTGCTTTTGTTTTTCGCTGTTCTCAACCAACGTCGCCATTTGATTGGCGTGATCCTCTTTGCGTGGTATTACGCGAGCGGCGCATTTTGGAACCCTTGCCCGCCATACTAAGTCGATAAGTTTGACTTGGCACAAGCGAGAGAAAACACGCCCCCATCCCCTGAAATATTGCAATATTGCTGCATGAATGAAAAAAAAAAGAATGATGGATGTCGAATAATTTGTTGATTTGTGGCCAGGTCTGGCAGTTATAGGAGGGACGGTGCCTTGTCATTGGGAGCACACATAAGTCGACAAAACCAGTTTTCTTCCGCTGCTACAGAGCGCTTTAGCACCTTGGTCAATCGCCTAGTGACTCGATTGCACGACGCAACCTCCGGCGACGCTAATCTGGAAAAAAAAAATACTGCGCTCGGTTTCCAAACCCACGATAGACAAGGTAGTACTACTACAAGTGGCGTCACTCATAATACGGGTTGACAGTTGAGGGGTACTGCGACCTTAAATTCTTTTAATTTTCTTTCTAAAATAAAAACTAGCGCGGAAGCAAAAGTGGTTTCATGTTTACTAGCGCTCTTTCCTCACTCCCTCGTATCATCCTCGTTTTGCGCTTCAAAATCTCAATACGTACAACCAACTAGCCCGCCAAACGATCTTAATGACAAAAATGATTTCACGAAATAAACTTCCCAATGGCAAACTGTGTTATTTTTACCTTCTTAAATATAACAATCTTCGAATACGTGGCACGTTCATAGAATAAGCATGTGCAGAGTTTTAGGGCTAAGAATCTCACGGTTCTAACACAGTTTCCAAGAATAGTCGGCTCGCTAATTTTCAGGTGCCTGTGTCTATTTTATTTTGGATGGTCTTGCTTTTTTTTTTTAAATGCAACATGCCTTATTTCATAATAAAGACAAACAGCTGTTCACTTTTTAAAAAATTCCTAGCTACGCGTTCGTACAGATAAGCATTAAGTCTATCACATATTGCTGAAATAATTTTCGTTAGTCTGAAAATAGGCAAACTGCTAAATGTTGGCTTTTAATCGACTTTTGCTTACCCCTCATATCCCTGAATTTTCAATTTTAGATGGACTAAATACAAAATGTCTCAAATATTTAACCGACCTTATTATTTTCCCGTAAATTTACACCAATTCTCATGTATGTAAACAAGATTTCTGCAAATAGTAATTCATCACTGCTTCTGCGACAGCGAATCAAATACCCAATATGTTCAAGCTGTAAAGCAAAAGGATTATAGCATTGAAAATGCTATGCATCTGGGTACGTATCTTATATTTTTTTAGTAATAATTAACGCTAGCATTGTCATCGCGCGATTTTTGGCAAGCGCTGTGTGCGAACCAGTTGTTGCCGGGACGCGCACCATAAGTTCAGGAGCTATTTATGAATTCATTAACCACAGTTTTATTGCCGAGTTGCTAAAGGGCCATCCGCTGACCGACAATAATGGTCTTAAGTTTTTATTGTCTCTTCATTGATTTAGTTAACCGTACATATGTTAAATGCTGAGGCAACGTGCAAGTATTTTTTTATATTTGCGTAGAGGGTGGGTTTTGCTGTGGTTTACTACAGTAGCATGTTTATTTAAATAACTTCTGTAGATGCAGAGGGGTTAATATTAGTTTAAATAGACGCCCCTGAGCTGATTTCTATCCAACTTTTGGCGGTACACATAAAACCGGTATAGCCTTTCCAGAAGCACGATGTCGCTGAAAATATGCCAGTCCCTCACACCACCAAAATGTTGCCATTCAAACCATCATTCTGGTATGAGGTGTAACATTTTGTTACTCATGTGTACGACTAAATTAAAATGATTCAACATATTTTCGATATATATTTTGTTGTTTTTGTTTTCAAAATGTACGCATGTTCACTTATATACAACCCATGAAATAGTTACGCTTTTTTTTCTATGAGATTGTCCTTCCATATGATATGAAATTATTCTTGTAGGTTTGATTATACATGTATAGAAAGGCAATGTCTAATGTACATTTGAAACTTTTCTCGCATTACCTGAAAGCCACTAAATGTTCCAAGATTACCTAAACGTGCAAGCATTTTTTTATAATAGAGTCGCAGCGCAGCACTTTGGAGCAATAAAATAGTGGATATCTGCTATTAAAGCAATTCGTGTTACCGTCTAGGAGTTTTTGTTCACGGGTGCTTGACGTGCGCGCAGCGATGCTGGCATTTTTTTAATTACAGTTCCTCTCAATCTTTCCAAGCGGTCGCAGGACTTACGTATTGTGCTCGGTTTGACTCTCCTGCTTTAAGACTTCCCCAATTCAAAGCCAAGGCATAGCCCATAAAGAGTCACTTTTGACAAACGCGGGCAAGCTGGCGCTCCTCGCCTAATTTGAGACGTCCCATTCTTGCTGGAGTGCCTGTTGAGCGAGCGCACGATTCGTAACAGCGGTCTCGTGTTACCCTGTAAGTTAAAGTGTAAGCGGATAATCGATTAGTGTTAATTTCTTGAATCCTTCTTGTATCTACTTCCATTCCCTACGTAGTTTTCGAGTAGGGTATAGGGAACATAAAGTATATAATATTAAAACCTGCAGTAAGAAGCTATTAGATATTTGTAGTAGACAGAAGAAAAACGAGTGGCAGTTAACTTCTAATGTAAATGCTGTGTAGAAAACCTTTTTATTTCATTGTTATTCGGGGCGTGCACGTGAAAGATTTCCGCCACCAACTTCCACGAACGAGAAAGCTGAATGGCGTCTTCACCTCGGTACATTGATTCGACGGCCTTAGTCTAAAGGCTCTGTTTTACTTCAACGTTGAGCGAAGCGAACGCAGCTTAGCGCAGAAGGCGCTCGTTTCATTGGACGGCGTGCAGGAACTCGATATCTGCGACCAATCAATGTCTCTGTGCGCTGCGCTTCGCCGCGCTTGCTACTCTCGACGTCGGAGTATAACAGGGCCTGAAATGATCATCGCAGTACACTATTTTCAAACGTTCACCACAGCAGCATTGGCAGTCGCCATTTTTTGAGCACGAAGCGTGGGATTTAATCCGCGTCCTCGCCGAACGCTGACTAAGCGCTCGTGTTTAATATGAGCTGAGAGCACGTGCTCAAAAAACGGCGTACTAAGATAGTTGACCCAGCAGCTATAAGTGTGCAAACTTTTAAAATGGTTCCCTTATTCTTGCGTGCATACTCATTTTGTTTGTTCTTTACTTGTTTTGTCTCATTGCTGACACCTTTTATTGTTGACTGCAAATTTAGCTGTTTGTGACATTTAATTTCTCACTTTCCACTGTGTTACCTTGGACGTCAATGCCACACGCCAGGTTCTGCCTAAAACCCGTTCCGTGTGCACGGTATTGAGCTCACAATGTACCACTTAATTCAACAACAAAAAATACATTTCTCTAATCTTTTTCTCCCAAGACCAGCCTCAGCGTAAAGCCACATCAAGAAATGGATCCTGCTATAACCTCGATTTCGACTCCACATGTGAAGTTAACGGCTGTGCCGTAGATCACAAGGAATGTTGGCGAGGACCCTTGAGTGTGCATTCCGAAAAATACGTGTTATTCGACAATTCCTTTTGTTATATACTGAGATCACTACTAAGCCAGTTTGGCTTTGAATGTGAGTATAATGAAATGATGTCACATACCACGGCCATTTATATATATATATATATAAAAACGCTTTCGAGCCGCAAAAAGAAAGCTATTTCATTTGTTAAATAAGTTGCTCCAATCCACGCTGTGAAGGACAGCGAAGCTGTTGTAGCACCTGCAAAGATTGCCCACTGCACGGTGCACCAACTCATGTTTACAAACAAAAGGGAGCGCCCCGAGCGGACGCCACCGGCGCCGCGCATGCGCGATGGTGTGCGGCCAAGAAGCTCGCCGTCGCCCATAAACAAACCATTGGAATGCTATGTTGTTTGCGTCGGTGTGAGTCGCCTTGCCCTTTTTCGTGTTCGAACTGTTGATTCTACGTCTTCCTGGCAATGTCTGACTACTTAAGCGGCGTCAACGAAATTACCGAGGTACGTTACACCGTAAAACTTCGCGTGAATAATGTGACACGCGGCGATTCATTCTGCGTGGACGCCGCAGAATGTACGCTCAAGCCAGATTCGCATGATGAGATTTCGCTCGCCATTTTTAGTCGCGACGTTGCTCAGGCTGCAAAAGCGTGAACCGTAGTTGCGATGGTGGACGTTGATACTGAAAATCGCAAGCAAAATCAGACTGAGTGACTCAGGCCTAACAAGTGGGTGATCGCCACTGGTAAGAATTATCAACATCTTGTATCTACTGTTTACATCGAGTCTGCTTACCAACCTTCAAACTTAAGTCTTTTGAGGACAGCACTTACTTAGAATCGCAAGTACCGGGCCAGCATTTGGTCTACGGGCTGGGATCGTCTAAAGGCCGGTTCAGACACTTGCGTTTGAGTGCGTTTGACTGCGTTGCGGCGAAAACCGAAAGCGAGTCACCGGCACATCTGTGCTTCGTATGAAGCGTGGAATCCAGTTCAAGGAATCTTCTTGGCACGAGATATAAGCCGCAGGGATGTCCTGGTGTTTCGCTGCCGCAACGCTGTCAAACGCAGTCAAACGCAACTGTGTGAACCGGCCTTAATAGAGCAGACGACGAGCAGAAACGATTGAAAGAGCAGACGACAGTTCGAACGATCAGGCTTCCGTTTGAACACGAAGACGCACTGAACGTAGTCTGCAGGTGGTCCGTACAACTTGACGGTTTTCCGGCGTTCATGTTGGAACAAAACAAATAAATCTGATGACCACAATTATCTGTGAATTCAGTCCAAAGTTCTTCCCACCGAAACAATCGTGGTCCGACGGTGTCTGGTTTTTTTCTTTTCACGTCATATATCCACGTTCTCGGACGAACCGAGCACATAAAAACTGACCTTCAAACCTTTGTTGACTCTTTTGGTACAGCCCCAGCCGCGTCGTTTTGAAGAGAAGGCAGGTTTTTGTCTGGTTCCTTTCAAAACAACGCAAGAATACACGTCTCACATGGACTTCTGCCCACAGCCCCAGACCGGAAGTGCGCCCGACGCGCCACCACCGCGCTGTGACGTAACAGAGATGAGTTCGTGTATATAAGACTATTTTATGAGAAAGCATTAAGTGTCCCATGAAGCAAAAGCCGGCGTTGCCTGTAACCGCCTGTAGCAGCGAAATGACAGCTAAATTCCCTTAAACAGCGACAGGACATGTGGCTCTATAGCAAGGGCGTCATCGTTGCTGAGGAGCCAGCCGAACTACTGGCGGCGCAGCGGGTTGGTGGGGGGACGCGGGTATGCTTAGTCAACCGGTACTTTAAGGTCGTCCTAGACATGCTCTGGTCGTCGTCCTAGACGTCGTCCTCTAGGTCTTGTTCTAGACGTTGTCCTAGATGTCATCCTTAAGGTCGTCCTGGAGGTCGCCCTAAAAGTCGTCCTAGACGTCGTTCTTGACGTCGTCCTTCAGGTCGTCAACGTCGTCCTCTAGGCGTCGTTTTCGATGACGTCCTAACGCCGTCCCCTAGGCGTAGTTCTCAACGTCGTCCTTAAGTTCGTGCTAGACGTCGTCCTTGAGGACGTCGTCCTAAACTTTCATGCGTGTAGAAACATTGCTCGAAAAATTTCACCCGCAAGACTATTACTCTCTCCGTGCCCGGTGGATTGCCCGAACCACAAGAAACGTGCTAACCGCAAAAAAGGTAGACGCTTAAATAGGATCGAATGTCCCCTTTAAATGGATAAATAAACGTTTCGATCAATCAATTAAGCGGATACTACAACGAAATTTGGACGCTTATTTCTTGCTCTATTCGCGTTCAATGGAGCAGTATCACATCAGACACACTTATCTCTTGTTGAAAACGACAGAAAAAAGAATTTTAAAACAAATTGAACGATTAGCAAGGAGCACCTGGTGGATGACGCCTCGTTTGTTATGCCTGTCTAGGAACCTTCACATGTAGTGACGATAAATAAGGTATTGTACTAGACCGTTTCCGCAGCCCGCTAAGCACCCGGATAGCGCTCTGTAATCCGCCACAAGACTTCGGACTATGCAGACAAGGCTGGCGCCGCGCATGCGCAGCTGCGGCGCTTTCTTCACGGGTACCGTAGCGGAGGAGAAAAACGGTTTACTACAATTTCCTAGTCTCGCCTCCGGCCATCACCAGAGAAGAGGGGAAGGAGGGACTCCCCCTCTCCCCAAGATTCTCTTTTGTGTGTCCAAGGCATCGCTATTGTCCCTCTACAAGATTACAGAAGAATAACCCATTACTGAAAATTGACATAAAAGCAGCAATGGGGTTTGTTGCGGTGGCCCGATTGCTGGTGTGCTTCGGCCGCCTTGGTGGCTGAAACGGATTTCTGTCTTTCTTCTTGGACCAAGTTTCCCCGCTTTTACCACAGTCTCCGTTTTCTACATCATGATCAACATCCACCAGCTCGCCTGCGCACTCACAGTTTCCTTTTTTTTTTTCATTTAGGACATTTTCTCGACGTCAGCCTCGCCGCAGCTTTGCTCGTTCCAGACAATCTACGTCAGGATTGCGGCAATGTCACGTGCTCTCTGCTGGCTGCTCTCGGAGCGCTTGCCAGAGTGGGCGTTTATAACGAAAAATACAGTCATCAGGCTCAAAATACAAAAGTGCGAATGTCATTTATGAATATTGTGGATCATATTCAGCCTATTTCTGAACACGACGGCTATATTTCAAATTTCGTTGAAGTATCCCTTTAACACAACTGATTGAAATGTAGACGAAACGTTTAACCAGCAATTCTCCACATGAACGCCAAAACAACCCAGGAGTTCGAGATCTGTTAAAATATTTCGAGTATTCTTGTAAACCAACTTGCCTCCTCCAAGATTTAATAGAGTACAGCCGAATTCATCTCGTTAAATCTCCAGCTTGGTGTCTGTGTAGTATCTAAGGTTTCTAACACTGCTGTCACATAAGCAAGTTCAACAGGTTTGCAAAGACGGTCCGACGGGAAGTAGCTTGGAACAGAAGTGGCACTTAATGTTTTTGCAGAACCAAAGGGTCTGTACCAAAAGATTGACCAAAAGAAAAGTAAAGAGGACACTTCACAAGCCCCTAAAAAGTCATTTTTATACAGTTTAGTTTTGACACGCGTGTAAACAAAAGTCAAAAAATTGAAACAACACTGACGGCGCGAGATTAACTTTTTTTTTTTCTTTTAATTTTGCGCGCAAAGTTTATTTCGTCACGGAATGGTCATACGCTCTCTTAACCTGATCGTGATGGTCAAGCCGATCTACCTCTCTTCCACGCGCCCCAAAATGCCGAGACAGAATACAAGCGGAAAGGAGGCGACTACCGACTCAATCGCGTCTCGCACTGTCGATATTGCTCTAGATGTCTTGTTTCCTGTAAGATAATTTTTCGACACGCATGACCCAACCTGACTGAAGTTTCTTTTTTTTTTTTCTTGAGTACGACGACACAAAGAAGTTCCAGAAATCCGATTTGTGAGCCAAATACAGCTTGGCTGTTATAGACCACTTTCAAAAGTCACGTGACAATTGTTAGAGGGTCGGAACCGCTGCACAATGGCGGAGCGACTGCATCGAGGAACGTGCAAGTCTTTCCATAAGATAGCGAACGTCGGAGCGCGGCCAACACCTCGAGCCGACGAGCCAATCAAACAGCATCGAAAGTGCAACGTCACTGCGATCATCACCTTTTTAGTGATGTGTTTTTTCCAGTGTGCCGTGAGGTTGAGGTTTTACTCCGCCATTGTGCAGGGATTTCACAGCTGCCAACACAGTGCCGTATTTTGAAAGGGGTCTATTCAACATCTTGGTTTAATACAGCACGACAAAACAAGGACAAAGTAAAGACGAGACCGACTACAGTACTGTTTTCTGTCTCGTCTTTACTTTGTCCCTGTTTTGCCGCACCGTTTTAAACCAACATTCTCCATGAACCGACTAGCCCATGCATACATTTCAGCGATATATTCAAAGTCGTTCCACCCTTAATACAAACTCAAACATTTTTCGAGTCACGTGGCGTTCAGGAACCTACAACCAAGCGTTCAATGTGTGCAAGAATGTGCCAAAAATCGGGAGAATTCTTCGAAGCAAAGGGCGAAAAGTGCGAAACGTTTACTCCGAAATTAACAAAATAACGCTATAAAAAGATGCACGTTTCGCTATCTATGCATGTGGCATCTTAGAATAAACTGGCACGAGTGAGGCGAGAGCCCTCTTATACAAAAGCGAAAGGCCAATAGACTTTCCAGCATTTATCACCCAGGCTAAAAATGCCAAGTCATTGGAATGTGGACGCATACGCGTCGTCTGATATTCCGCTGAAGAAAGCAACTGCGCGCGCTCAGAACGCGTTCCACAACTTGGAATGGCAGCGCGCAGAAGGTGATTAGTGGAAGGATCTATACACATTTGCAAGTACGAGCTCTGGGCGCCGCCATCTTGCTGCTGGTGTGGATAAATTGTCTGATATCCAAGCATTGCTGAGGCGTACCCGCAGTTTCCATACTGGCGCCAAAACAAAGCGTTTTCAGTCCACGGTGATCAAAGTAGCTTTTGAAGTGCGGCTGCTTGGAATCGTCCTTAGGATGCGTCGCTGTCGGGGAGGCAGGCAGGTTTGCACACTACCGCGATGTTCGCGCTATGCGGAAACGTTTATACTCACACCAGGGTCTAGAGCGACCCGTGTGAGATCAACCGTTCGTGACTATTGTCAAGCGCTCCAAAAGGTTAAAGTAAAGCGTAAAAAAAAAGCCGGGAACTGAAATCGCCTAGATTCAAAGGCAGTACCCACTCAGCCACGAACCTGGCGAAGAATAGCAGTTCTAACGCTTGCGTAGCTACCATGTTCGTTCAATGCTAAAATTAAAACATATTCCTATTGTGTTTTTTTTTTTCTCGACCAAAATAGGAAAAAAATAAAGACATAAATGAAGTACGTAATCAAGGTAGCATTAGGCCGGAAAACAGAACTGGTTATGAAATATGAATATATGAATCTCCTGGTCCGAAATTCATGGGCCATGAAGCTTGGACATCTGAATTCGGTGCCACCCGGCTACAGCCAATTCGGTGCCACCCGGCTACAGCTTTTTTAAGAAAACCTGATATGAAAAATACGACAGCCGATTGGCATAATGTGGTGCAACGCCCCTAATACAAGGATAGAAACAGTTTTCGTAGCTGAGACCAGCGGTCAATTCGTTTGATCTCAGTATTCTATTTCTACTTAGACAAAAACCAAGGATAAAAGATTAGGCTTCGGTTGTTCTGATATTATGACCAGCTCATTATCTTAACTCTACTTGTAGAAACCTATTCAACTGAGGAAAATAAAACTCCTTATTGCTTGCAGACCGGAAGAACAGACGGTAGCCATCGTGCTCAAGTTTTGTTTTGATTTTAATAATCGGTCCTATATCTAAAGTGCGGCTTAATAAACTCGATCGGATTATAAACACCACGACACCGGTGATATAGGGTTGCATTAGAGATCGCAAAAGCTCGCAGGAAAAGCTACACTGGGTAACATAAAGGTTAAACTCGCAAAAAATATTCAATTGAAGTGCTCAGTACCCTACGTTTCAAAACATATGTAAACGATTACACTGTGATTGTGAAAATAGAATCTCATTTTTATTTTGTTATTATGCAAAGTTCAAAAGATGTTCTTTCGTTCTTTCTTCAATCAGCATGCTGAAGTTGGGCGAACTTGTAATTATATTTTTGCCTTTGAAACTTTTGTTTTTAATTTTTTATCATAAGCGAACATTTATATTCTAAAATGCCCTTTGTCTTAAAATATCACTTTGTCTTTCTTTTTCAGCTTGTGAATTCTGGCTTAGGGAAGATTGGGTAAAGAAACATTTGTCGATTCCCGAAGTACAGATCGAAGAAAGTGAGAAAAAAGAGGAGGAGTCTGAGAACAAGGATAGGACAACGTATCCGTACGATTCCTTATTTAAGCAACTTCCGTCCAGCTGCCGATACGCATTTCTTCTTAACTGCGGATATCCGGAATACCGAATGTATGACAAGGAAATCTGCGACAAGATTAATGAAGAAAAAAATGCTGCATCAGGTGACACAAACGGAAGTAACTAACAGAATTATGTCAGCAAATACGCTTCCCGGGTCTGTATGAGACCACATCGCGCTCAAACCATCAACCACACGCTTTTCGAGGCACCCTTTGGTTGCTCCGTGAATGTGAACCGGAGCAGTATCTAAGGGAGTCATGCAAACATTGAAAAAAAGGTATTTTACAAGAGCAGGAGTCAGCGCGACACTTTGCCGCCTCATATCTCGAGAAGAAATCTTACTGCCTGCATTTTCGAAAACTAAGACTAGTGATAAAAAAAAGCATACTTTACAACTGAATACCTGTTAAAGAATTGGTGCCGGTCTTATAACAATAAAAATGTTTGAAAATGTTGAAGCATTTTTTTAATTACAATTTGTGACTTAAAATAAGTTGCTGTGATTAAAACAAGGGGGGCTGCGTTTCTGCGGCGGTTGACTGCAGACTACGGCCAAACGTCAAATTCAAATTCTTTATTGATCCCTGAAACAGAGAAAGGAGGCAGAGAAAAAAGCAACTGACACACTGCTTGACTAGCCTCTGCCCCCCATAGCAGCCCAGGGAAGAACAAACATAAACGTAAAAACACTAGCATTTGACATATTCATTATAGCATGGAAACGACAACATCATCTATATTGCGAAACAGAGAATGTAAACAAAAGGGGGAGAAAAAGAAACGAAAAAGTATGTAAAAAAATAACAACACGCGCAAAACGCATACAACCGTGTTATACTGAACTTTTTTTTTTTTTTCAACCCAAGTTTTTTTTTCAACCTAAGTCGCGGTTGAATTATCTGGGCACCGAAAAAACGACAAATTTCACCTGCTAAGGCTATTTTCATTGTCCTCACACTGCCTCGGAATAGCTGCCCGCTCAACAGAAATATCTGGTAAATATCTTATCAACTTCAGGGTGGAGTAGCTAACTAAAATGAACAATTCCTATCAAGCACAGCAGGATGAACATAATGCGTTTTGCTGCAGCAGCTGCAGCAAAAAAAAAACTGGCAAAATTTCCAGATTGCACAAGGTGAATGTATTGCTCACGTCACTCAACGCCTACCAAGGAGCGAATCCTGAACAACAATATAGTTCAAAGACGTCGTGCACATTCATGACGATCTATTGCAATTGTTAACTGTTAGCCGAGAGCCGCATAAATCCTGGAGCAATACACTTGCTTGCTGAGTAATTCGTAAATTGCTTTCCGCAGAAAAAAAAGGAACTGAATATATAAAACGTGGCGGCGCAACGATTTTTGTATTTTCAGCACATACCGCTTAGATACAAACGTGTACGCTTTTAACCCACGCATCACGCGTTAGTTCAGACTTAGTTACTGAAAGCCACATTAACCGAGTCTCAAAGTTCTGTTTGCTTTATCCTCTTTTTTTTTTTTTTTCTTTCTTAAGTTGCCATGGGACCCACAACTTCGAGACATGAGTACTGGAAGTTGCAAGTGCTGTCAGACGACTAGATACCGGTACTTTAACACAAAACTACGTGCGAAACATGGGGATAACGTCGGCATGATATGGCAGCACACCTGAAATCAGCAGTAACAAATAACTCCGAAGTGAATGGCACACACCAAATCGTGATTTAAAAGGGGACATCTTTCTTGTCAACAGATATAGTCTTACGAAAAGAGAGTCAATGTGCAAGGAGGCGAGCTGGCGTTAGGGAATCAATTTCTGTAATAGCCAAGAATGAGGTGAGAAAAAAAAAGGCTTTGTAAACAAAGAAAATGACTCAGAGGGAACTTCTTAACCGAGGAAAAGAAACAGGAGGGGTTACGGGTGACACTGGCAACCAAAAAGAGTGTTTGTGATTGGCTTTTGTGATTGGGCAAACACTCACTATGATCTCTTTATTAACTTTGATGGTGTTATTTTAACAATGCGACGTCTTTGAGCTTCTATCGGACTCTATCTACACGTACGATCGAGCGTAGTTCGTAACTGATATTAAGTAGTCATAAATACAATTCTTGACGTCCCGACGAGGAAAATACTTGTCGTCAAGTCACGAGCGGAAACCATTAGAGGGCGCCAACGAAACACCTGGGCGATAGTAGTTTGTCTAAGAAAAAAAAAAACTTTCTTTTGAGTTTGTATTTATTTATTTATACTGTTTATGGACTTCTAAAATCAATAAATTGGGCTACAGCGAATTTCGTACCTCTTCTAAAGTTAGCGTGTTTTTTATGGCTTACTTGGAGCAACTAGTAATAAAAATCTGTTGTTTTGGAAGTCAAAGCTTGGCTGGGATGTCCTTGTGTGAAATATCAAACTGTTGGTTGAACACGAGTTTTTTCTTTCGCACACTTTCTTTGTGCAATGCAACATATGTCCTACAATACATTTTTTTCAACTGAATAACCTTATGTTGTGCGCAAACGTCTGGGCACCCTTTACCGTAGTTATCGCTTAAAAACGTGCACCTTGACAAAACTGTTTTTCTTAAGAAAAGTGGTAAAAGGTTGGTTACATCTATATAGGTGTTTTGAAGTTTACCGTGCAGGTAAACTCAGCGAACTTCATTGAACAGCTACCAGGGAGTTCACCATGTGGTCCCTCCTAGCGCCTTGCGTCATGGTCAAAGTATCGTATGAAGGCAATGAAAGTGCGGCACTGCTTGTCGACTCGTCGTTGATGATGGTCGTTGCCACGGTCCTACAAATGTGTAAGTTCATGCACCAACGACAGTAGCTTTCAGCGCAGACAATTAGGGCGGGGCGGTTGTTTTCGGGCAGCTGGAGGAGTCAGCAATCGCCCTGAATCGAGGTGGAGGAAGCATTTGCGAAGTTCGAAGCTCACTGTACGAAGAACGTAAATTTCGCCCATGACGCAGTCAGGTTGTCCCGCGTAGGAACCGGATCACGGCTGACAGAGGGAACCCCTAGCCTAGGTGCCGTTGCACTCTTGGCTTTTTTTTTAATTTTTATTCATTTTCTCGAAGTTTTATTGCTGAGCGGAGTGTGAACTTCTCGGAGCGTTGACATTGCCGCTAAAAGCGTTATCGCAGCAGACACAAAAAGGAGAAGCACAAAAAAACACGTAAATTTATTTTTTTAAGAGGCACTGAGGTCGAAGCTGGATCCGGTCCTTCGAGGCCCCAAGGTCTAGTGCTGCGACGTATGATTGAGCAGTGTTTGGGGCATTTATAAAGGGCCTGGTATTTTCTTTTTCCGTGCTTAGTCATCGGGTCGTCGTGACGTGTTATTCGAAGAGGTGCCTTGTTTATGGCCCAAATGGTGACATGTGGCACAGGCCACAAGTTTTGAGTCATAGGGTGTGTACCAACCTCTAAAACCAGAAATACTCAGGAAATTGAAAAAAAAAAACATTTGCAAAAGTCAAGAAATTGCCAAGGGAATCGTCCAATAGCTGGCTAAGTTAAGGAAAGTGTGCTATGTAATTGGCACAGTGACACGGAACGAAGCGGGAGTGTGCGGGGTGGATTGATTTCGCACTGAGTGTCAGTTGCCCGAGTCATAGCTTGGTAACGCAACACAATACGTTATTCGCAGGATTAAATGGAAACAGCCCTAACAAACGCTGCAATCTCATCCTCTGCATTTTCCCCTTTTGAAATGGTTAGGGAATTTAATAAAAATATTAAGGAAAACCCGGAAAAATCAGAGAATTTGAGATACGTAATTTAATAGACACCCTGTCTTGTCATGAAGGCATAATATGTAAACAATCTAGGGATATCTTGTCCTTAACAGCCATCCGTCTTTCTACCCCGAGGAGTTCGGCACTTATTATGCGTTGCGTGCGGCAGCCTAAGTTAGTTATAAAGGCCTCAGAGATCTTCCCTTTGTCAATGTTGTATATAATAGGTGGAACTGACTATCCGCTACGGCTCTATAAGTATCAAATTATAAAATTTTATGGTTGCAGTTGAAGCATTCATTTTTTCTGTAGTTCGTGGAATTCAAGGATAAGTGAGGGATCCCAGAAGTCAGTGGAGACATTATTCACGGGAGGTTAAATTCTAATTCGGTACTTCTCGTAAGCAAGATGAGTTCCAGCTTGGCCATTCATGGGGCGGTAAATGTCTTTCAGCGTTAAATCTGAAACTTTGATACGGTCGGCAAGTCACAGTATCAGAATGCGGCGCGTTAACGTAACCGACTTAGGTACATGAACGGCACATTGCTCCAGCACTTTTGACTTCAACGGAATACCACCCAGCCCATGCAATATGGGCTTGCATGGGATCGGCGGGCGTTACGTCACAGTCAGTGTCGCTGCCTTTGCTTTCCTCGGTGATATTCTCCCATTGTAAATAATGTATGATTTCACACTCCTTTACTCGAGGGAGGGGTTTAGGTGCGGTTTGTTTTTCACGAATCTTCGAAGACGGTTTTAGAGAGGCGAGAACACCAAAGGGGTCATAGACCTGATCTGTCGACTTATCGATGAAAGTGAAAGTCTTTTTTTCTGCCAGAGGCATAAGGCTTCGAGAACTTCATTCCTGCTTGGCTTTAAGCGAAGGTCACCGACGGTTTCGTTGTGCCGGAACAAAATTCCAAATCTTAAATGTTCAGTACTGCGTTGTGAAATCAAGAGCACCGGTCGACCTTAGTGTTTCCGAAAAGGCAACAGTAAAACTATTTACAAAGCAAAGAACGATTTCATTTAAATTATTACTAAGATGATGTATGGTGATCCTACCATATCAAAGCTCTCTTGTCTTTCCTTCGTTGTTTTTTTCTTTTACAGAATTATTTCGGAGTTGTCATTCATAACTTACATTTCATCAGCAACTGGAAGTCTTGGTTGCCTATGCGCTCTACCTCTAACGGTTGCGCGATGTTTTCTGTCCCATAAAGAATAGAACATGTATGAACATGAAATATATACTCCAGGGCAGAGGTTTTCACACCCCGGCCCGCGGCTCGCTTCCAGCAGGCACGCTGCTACCGGCACAAACATAAGCAAACTGCGCCGTAACGCGCTCCAACCGCGTGAATGAAGTTACGAGAAAAAACGAGAGAAAACTCCCTAC